CGAAAAATTGGTGTTTTAAGTAAATTATTTCAGTCAATAACACAAACCCCAACGCGCATTTTTTGCAGCAAATGACTACAAATAACGGATCATATTTATCAGCCGGTTAAGGATTTTCTATAAAACGCAGGGTTTTGATGAGTTGTGTCATTATTGTTATCTAATTTTGCGGCTTTTTGTGCCGAATCATTTAAAAAACTGCAAATACTGTTTATAAGTAAAATGTAAAAAATTTTTGAGGCGATATACCCAAAAAGAAGTTTGTGAAAAAATGATCAATTGTTATTTGTTTTTGTTAATGGCAGTGGAAAATACACCACATCTGGTTAAGGATGAATAGATATCAGGAATGTTGTTGCAATTTTTCGTTTAATTCCATAATTTTTTACAATCAAACGCTTCAAAACTGAATGTTAGTTTGGGTTTAAAAAAATTCTCGTAGCTTTGCTATCGTTTCTTAACAGCTAACATCAAAACAGCTTAATTAATTGCCGTGGCTATATCTTCTTCTAGTTCGATTTCCTCATCGAAAATCTGTAAGTTTTTCACGTAGTAGCAGACGCCGCCGTCAAATAAGGTACCAATAAAAACAAAAGTTGCGGCAGTAAAGTTCATGGTGTACCTCAAACTTTCGCCATTATATAACCAGCAGTTCCCATTGCCAGTGCATGTTTTACCCCAGACTAAGCAAGCTTTATCTGAAATTTTAACGGGTAAAAAATGTTGATCATCGCACTAGCTGTTGTTGGAACTTGCCCATGATTATTCCGAATAAAATTGGGGAGGGCACAAATGCACAAAGACTCATTAGCATCAATCCAAATCCCATGGCGACTGACTTATCTTTTTCCTCCACGCATCTGGAAAATCCCTGTGAATAAAATCAGGCGTGTTCTGACAACTTTCCGATCTTACCTAACGGTTACCAAAAAATTGGCTGCTCGTCCAGTGGCTCCACTAAATTTCAGAAGACACACAACACACAAAAACATGTAAAACTGCGAAAAACAGTCTACAGAACAGCTTCCAGGGCGCACAAAATCCCAGTTTATTGGCGTGTTGATGTCGTTTACCCGATTTTCAACCAGTTTATTCTCCTGTCTTAAACAGGAGCAGTCAGCAAATACGTCGGTCCCATTAATGCCAATAAGTTTCTTACAGCCGGCGTGGCAAGCGGAAACAAACGTCTTTGTGCCATCTGAAGAACAAACTGGGTTGTATTTTACATAATCGCAATAACAATCGGAGTTGCAGTCGGATATTGGATTCAGTCTAAAACGAAAAAGTTACTCAGCATGGGCCGAAGCAAAAATCAATTAATTAAACAAGGTCTAAAAATGTAAAACTGCGTACTCTCCACTAGGTAGAACAGGGGCTCTATTGTCGTTTTCTTCGCATCCTAAATACGCGTATGAGATGATTCCCATCACCGATACGGCCCCTACAATAACGTTCCAGGCAGCCAAATATCTGGCTCTAGGTTTAAATTTCGATATGATGAGGCCAGATATTAAAATCCCAATAGCTGAGAAAACCAATCCAGCGCTTCCAGTTATGAGACTAGAAGCAGACGCCGACTGTCTGTACTGAGTCTCAATATACTTAGGCAGGAATATCCAGTACGGCATGTATCCGAGAAAATAAAACACTGCTGCGAAATTATTGAGCATCAACGTCCGATTTGCTGCCAATCTGCGGAACGTTTTGATCATATCTGGAACAAACACGAAGCCATTGACGGTAGCTGCAACAGACAATCGGGCCCACCTTTAAAAGAGGGCAGAGTCTCCGGTTCCGCTTCCATAGGTTTATTGGATATTCTGGAGGCTTGCCGTTTGATCTCTTTCCTGATTGCCGCCCTGGGTAGAGTTTTGGGAAAAAACGCGAGCAAGGAAGCAAAAATAAAAAGAATCAGAGCCAAAATGATCCATCCCAACCACCAAGCGCCCAACCATCTTGGATCTTTGGTATCTATGGTAGGGGTCAGGGATGGTGAAATGTACACCTTTAGACATATGGAGGCCAGGCCGTGTCCAATTGCTGGGCCCAGCATTCTTATGAAGTATGAAAAACCTGCAATAAGATTTTTAAACATATTTATCCTATTGATGCTTTTGAAAAAGGAGCAGCAGCAAATTATTTTACATTAATTAGCTCCTTCATCCAATGCGCAAACGAGATGAAAAATCGCATACCAAACATGTTTGATAGATTAGAATGCCGTCGTTATTCAATTCTCTAATTTATCTGCCTTGCAAGTTTGAAGCAGGTAACAGGATGATTAAATATTTGATTTCATTGTTTGGGTTTCTTCAAGGAAACCTACCAAGCAAACGATAACATAATTATCTTTCACTCTGTGCAGTGACGTACAATATTAATTTCTCTTCTCCATCACTTTAAAACTTACTGAATAATGCGGGCGTTTTTGATCTCTTAATGTTGTCATCCATGTAGGAGACTCCTAAAGTGTAATACAGCGATCCTCCTATTCCAGATATGAATTGAGCTGCAAAGAGAATGAGCTGAGGAGAGAAGTTGCTGCCTTCCTCTTCGCATTGCGTGTCGTTCTTGTGGTTGCTGCTGCACAAGAAGCTGCTTTGCTCGGTCAAAAAAGAGTCAGATGTGGAGTTATCGTTGAGCTGAAATTCTTTGGTGAGCGACAGAGCGTCCAATCCGGGTCCATACAAAAAATGAGGTAACGCTGTCATAATGCAAAATAATACTACTGTATACATTCCTAAGGCCATCCATCTAGGCCTATGTCCTCGGCCTGTATAGTAGCTGAGTATTACAGACATAAGTAACTGACTGAGATCATTTCCCACCGATATAATGCCTGAAATTTCCTCGTCAAGTAAACTTCACAAATTAAAACTAATCCAAAGGTTCATCTTACCTGTTGTGCGACTGGGGATTTTAAATCTCTTTTCCAGAGTTGTTATAGTTCCATTGAAATATGCAAATGAGGCTGAGAAAATGCAACCAAGCAAGCCATACAGTATAACGTAAGCTTTTTTGTTGGCAAATTTCTGCAAGCAATTGCCCTTTAAACACCACACACCACAAGTCGTATCCTTTTGGTTTATACTTATTTGTCGAGACACTGAAAACTGTTCACCATTTGCCAAAAATGCACTATTTTCTGATTCATTTTCCAGATTATTTTTCTCGGGGCCGTTTTTCAATTGCGAATCCATTGCAACTTTAGTTTGGTAACTTTTATGCAATTATTGCGGATCCATGCTTCAAAGCGATACATATTTGGAACACATCTAGTTTGAATGGCCGAAAAAATAGACTAACCCATCCGAATAACTAGAAAATTTGCATTGTAAAAATTAATGAACAAGCAAGCAAGATAAGACAACAATAACGTAAAAAGAGATTAACTTTTATTTGACATGCTTGGTATCATATAAAGATGTTTGCAATTAATTGTTAGAAATTCGGTGTTAGGTCAAAGGCCGCACTCTTTCTAGCTCACTTCTACTTCTGTCTGATTTTTCACAACACAAATAAAACTACGATCTATTATTCAATTGTAATGGTTAAAATTACATGCATGAGCTCTGCTCCTTAAGCAAACGCAAAATTAACTAGATAGCAAGTATATGAAAGCATCCGTTAACTGTTTTACTGTTCTAATGGCCAAATTGTGCAAATTTCAAATTCGCAGATTTTCCAGAAGAGTAGGTAGGAGCCAAAACGGAGCAGTCGGTTAATTAGCAAATTTAATCCTTAAGTGAGTCCTCTCATTAATTTGCCGAATGTCCTATATAAATATTGACATTCTTCATGATACTTAACTGGGAATGAAATCATCCAAATCCTTTCATCCGACTAATCAATGTGAAAGACATCCCCGTTTTTTTCATAAACAAACAAATGAGGGTGAATGGCTAGTGCGTGCTCTTCAAACCACTAATTTAATTGATTAACTTAAGATCTCGTTATTTTTGTGACATGGAGGCTCATCAAAAAGTTGAATGTTTCATGTTGAAAAACGCTTAAATTTTAGTCACTTTGTGGTTCAAAATGGGTTTTTCATAGGTGCAAAGTCCCATTTAATTGAAAGCATTTTTTTTTAAATGTACAGCGAAAGTTTAGTTTTATCCCCTAGAAATATCTGGAAATTTCAACTTTGAGCCTTACTAAGACGTAAAGGTGAACGTAATTTTGAGCTGTAGAATGCGACTTTATCGAGCGGTTTGGTGTATCATTCTGCTCGCTTAATTTCCTTGATTGTTTTAAACAGTTGCACTTGATTAAATCTTTTAAATATCCACTGCTTTTTAAATTCAATAGGAACAGGCGGGTAGAAATGCACATAAATTAAGACGGCCAAAAAACCGTTTGTTTCGCTATGCGCTGCGCTAACATTAAAAAACAGTTTTCTTTATAAATAATATGTTTTATTGTATATAACTGGTTTTTATACATTTGGTAAATTAATATGGATATAAAATAATTTGCATTTTACTATAGGCTGAACGATAACAACTAGTAAGAATTTGTACTAACATGTTCTTTAACTTAAGCCGTTAGCTAATGAGAGAAACACCATTAAAGTATAACGTTTCTGTAACTAGCCTGATAACGTGTAGATTCTGGTGATTTTAAAGAAAACAGCGACATTTTAAATAGTGATTCTGTGCAAAATATCTTAAATACAATTTGTCTTCTCTGGTATTAATATATGCTAGTTTTTAATTTCTAAAATCTTAAGAATTAAGTAAGTATACATTTATTTTAATATATTTGTAATGGCATTGACGTGGGTAAGGCATCAGTTAAAGGACAAATTCCTACTTTCGCTTATTAAAAGTTATCAAAACTGAGGCTTACAATATGAGATAAACCTTCATAAATTAGAAGTATACATACATACATGGCCAGCAGAAAAAATCTTATAAGTTTTTCTTAAATAATTGGTAATTACGTTTCTAGTAGTTTCGTATGTAAATATTTTACAAGATTTTTTCAGTCAAAACCTTAAGTTTACATATTTACATTTTCACAATATCGAGTAACATTAATAGTGAATTCCACAACCATTTACGAGTTACTTACCAAAATGTAATAATATTTTGTAGTAAGTTTGAGAAAGTGACACAAGCACATATTATTGGACGGACCCATAAGTAAAATGTATTTAGAATTTGTAAACACAACCCGAGGAAATACTTTTTCAATGTAAATATCAACTAAAATTGAGTATGAGGCAATAAAAATAATAAAAAAAATAACCAATGAAGAGTTAAAATTTATTGGGTAAGTTCTTATTAACATGACTCGGTGGTATATAAATGAATAAAAACGCAACAAAACGATTGTGACACAGTAACGTGAAAATGTAAATGAATGGCTAAGTACCGAATTAATAAATAAATTTCCTTAAGTACCATAAATGTAGTTGCTTTGGACATTGAGAGTAGACAAAGTACACAAAGAATATATTAAATATTAATATCTACTTAATTAAATATTTAAGTACTATGCAATAATATAATACATATCAAAACGAAATATAATCCAGCTCTTTCTTGGCAACAAAAGATCGTTTTTGGTCATTGTTGGCAAGTATATTTCGCTAAGATAGAGTCGACTAGAACTATACATGATTAATTTAAATAGTCAGCTTTTATCTAATATTTTCTTTAAAAAAATATCGAATATAACTATTGCACTTCCTTCTGCAGATTCAACAACTAAACAGTCTGCAAAAGAGCCGCAATCAAGTCTATTGGTTTAAAATTTATTGAGCATTTAACCTTATTACTTTGGGTAAACTATTCACTAAACATTCTTCCAACCGACAGACTCAACTATTTCTTGCAATAGATTTCTAGCAACTTTTGCTAGAGTACAATAAATACTATCAACCGACATCGTTGTTGAAAAACCATCTAGGAAAACTGAAGTGGTGCTTAAAAAACTTTTTTTAAAGTTGTCTAAATCAGTTTTCATAGATCGATTAGGTAATATTGATTTATTTAAAAAAAATAGAATTTTCTAGAACTTTCAACTCTAATTTTTCCAGATCATATTTTCGTTATTCTGGCTAACCGCTAGAAGTTTCATAATTTAAATAGCTTAATAGTTGTTTTTATTATGGTCCTTGTGGTCCTTAAGCATATTTACCCAGAATCAGAAACAAAATACTTTAATCAATTTATTTACTGTAACGTCCAACAAACTTATTACTACACTGAGTTCTATCGTGGAAATGCACTTTTTAAGTAAATCTGTATACGACAAATAAACAAAATACGATCTTTTACATCGAAGGGTATTATGCTTAAAGAATATCCGACTGATTGTCTCATTTACCAAGAAGTAGATAAGGCATATTCTACAGCCAACCGTCGACTTACTGTAATCTGGCCTCCTGTAGAGCAGGAGCCTGGGCAGCAGTTTGATATTGGATGCCTGGAAAAGCTGTCGTAGTTGCCGCTGTTGGTATACCAGGCGTTTGAGGCAAAGCTGCATATGTATAAGGCATATAACTAGCTGCACCTAAAAAAAATCAAGAATGTAAAAATGGGCAGGTCAATTGGTAGTAAGACTCAGTAACTGACTACAAATGAGGAGGATTGTGGGATTTACATCGGGACACGTTGAAACAAATCAAAACACGGATTTTTTTGGAAAGCGATTAACTACCAAATCAACATTCATCTGGGATTCATTGAATATGCAGGGGTAATGAAGGAGTAGAACAGAGTGAAGAAATTATTAGTACTAAAGTTGCAGAAGCGAGAGTGGAAAAACGACCATTTCTAAAGTTATGAACTTACTTGCAGCTCCTGTATAGGGTGTATATGCATCAAACCCATTGGTATACTGGCCGGTATAAGGTGCAGCGGCTGCCGCAGCAACGGCGGCAGCATTTTGGTACTCATAAAACTGTGAGGTAGCTGCAGCTGCGACCGCTGCAGCATGAGATAGCTGCGTGGCTGGTAGCTGAACTAGACTGCCTGGAGCGGTAGCTGCCAAATAGGGCGACTGATACATGTAGCTGGGCGGCATTCTGAAAAGAAAATTTTCAGTTATATTCCAACGTCGGCGGCACCAACAACCACAGCAAGCAACACCAGAAATATCAACAAACCATCCCCTTGGTGCAGGATATTCGATAAGACTAATGAAACTTGCATCGAATATTCTCACCAGAATAGTAAAACCAATTTTGGATACAATGTCCTGATTTCTAAACTGAAACTGTTACTATCTATGTTAAATTTCCAAATTCATCGGGCTGTTATTAAACTAATTGGTAAATGAGGGAAGAAATTTTGACCAGAATTTGGCTGATGTTGCAGCAAAGCGAAGACGATATTAGGGCCAAAAATAACAACGGGCAAAAGAAAACCAATTATTTGAGAATTGCAGGCTAATTATCTGGATTAGTGGTCATTAAAAATAAGTATAGACAGCAAGAACAACAATGATAATATCGATGTTACACAAATACGCGAGTTTATACTTAAAAACTATAGTGGTGCCAAGTGTAAGGGTGCACAAACTTACAAGAACCAGAATTTCAAAATATCAAACAATTTGATTTGATTTAAACACGTGCTGCTAAAGTTAATAACTAATAGGGTCTGTATAGGCTGAATTCCCGATGAGAAATATTATATCTACATTTAGCGGCCAAGCAAATATTCACTAATACCTAATTGTGTTGTGTAATATGTAGATACTTTAATTTCGTCTGTCAAAATTGATTTTGCAATTTCATTTGCTGGCTGCCTTAAACATGCTTTTACCGACGCTCGTAATTCTGGTGAAAAATATAAATTCATAAATCCTGTTGTTTGTTGCATTCACTTTCGAACAGAATCGATGTAAACCTGCTAATTGCCACAGAAAAATTTACATCTCAGTATGGGCATGGTACGCTTGGTAAATTGTAAGCACTATTAAATAACATAGTTGTTATTCTATTTTTTTGGGTTGAATCCCACCATGTAGAAAATCTAAATAGATACGAACTGTTGCTATCACAGTTCAGCAACAAACAAGCGACATTATTTAAATTATTTAATTATCATTGACTGGTAAAGGAAAAACGTCGTCGACCTAGAACGTAGCCAGGTAGCTATCGTGCAATGATATAGATAACAGAACCAGTTACGAGAAAATATAAAACTAATTGCCGGTAAAAAATGTGCAGCACTGTCTATATGCATTTAGAGATAGTGCATAGTTATATGAATATTTCCTCACATTATGGGGTAAACCAGTGATATTGAGGACAGCATAATAATATGCGCCATGAGGACGGAAGAATTATTGCAAGTCCCGTGCTTTAAAAAATTCGTAGGCATTATTTTGTGAGCCAGGGACATGCACGTATTTAATCAAAGAACAAGGTAGTTGTATTTGAGTAGTTAAAAATAATGCATTAGTCAAAACGCACAAACAATGTTAAATAGGGCGACGGAAATAGACTTGGCACGTTAAGAAGAGCGAACGAGGAGACGTCTATGTCTACTTAATAGTTTTTCAGTTGAAATCCTCTACAAAACTAATACATTAGTAGAATATGAGCTACTGAAACTAATGAGATTGAAAACCCGTGTATTTTGGAGCGATTAACGCAAGTTTTATAGCATCCACCATTCAACTAATCGCACATCTACATGTAGTTTCCAGTTTAAGCGTATTGACGAATCGAAATTTCCTTGAATTTATATAATATTTTCATGGGACACATTAACCTAAACAAACATTATTTCTAGCCGGCATTCAATAAAGAAAATCAATAACACATTAAAAACGAAAACCGAGTTGTACATATTCACCAAACTTGTATTCCTATCATTATTTGTTTATTTGAAAAATCCCTCACGGAAAATTGATTTTTCCTAATCACTTTGGGTAATCACGAGGCGATTAATCATGGTGAAACATACAATGCATAAAGAAATTGTAGAGGAGTAACAGGTAGTTAAAGGGGGGAAATTCATTTCTTTACAGTAAAATGTGATTATAGGAAATAGCCTTTCACAGCTTTGTCCAATTAACTACTCAATCGCTATTATTTTTGAGCAGTCTGACATGTCTGAATGTTTTATTTTGGGATGTTTATTCGAAATTTGATAAATCTGGTGACCAACTGAAGTAAATAGATTTTTTAACAGTTATATAATAAATATTCTCCAAGTGCTTTTGGGGGTAGTGAAATATCCATGGCCACTCCAATATCGGGCATTTTGTTTGTTCACTAGCCTCAGCCCGAACATTCAACATTAACGTGTCTCTGATATTAATTTCGGATTGAAATCCAGACTTTATTGCGTAATAAATTCAAACCTAGTAAATGATTCCAGTCTGTTAATAAACCGCTGTAACTCCGTACTTATTTCTGGATAAGTTTTATTGGGTTACGCAAAGACGACTAAACCTATCTGGCATCCTTGTTTTGTTTCGCACCTCTATTATAGTCGACGTTTTGAACCGTCCGAATCTATTTCCTTAATTTCTATTTTTATTCCTTTAATGATCATGTTTCTTTTTCCGCTCATATTTTACCTGCTTGGATAGTGTGAAATCCGCAGTGATATATCTTTTTCGATTCGTTTGACGTCAATTACGTGTAATTACAAAAATATACCTTACGTCCAGAACGAGCTTATGAAAAAGCACTGGGAATATTTTACCAAATAATGCCAGCTCGGCGACTATCTGAAAATCGGAAATGATCCAGAATATCCAAAAAAGTAGCAAATTTGAAGCGCGAGTTACGTTACAGCCTCAGGGGTAGTCCTAATCCTGAGCCGGTTTAGATTGGGAGAAATTTCTTATATGGGCAGACTCGCCGGTCAATAAGACCTCCGTAGTTTGGATTCCGGAATCCGGAGTTTGCCCGGAGCGGCGCGCAAACTTCGCTACTTTGCAGCTAAGTCCGGATTTGCGAGGAGATTATCCAATCGTGAGGCCGACGCCGCCTTCCGCGTTTTTTTTGCTTCGTTTGCCAAGTTTGGATTTTCTCTGTTAAACGTCCATAACAACTAACGGTGGAAAGTGTAATTACCACGACCCATCAGGGAAGAGCCAAAAAATGTATCTGTTGATCGTTTCCACTCCAAAAATCGTTTGAGCCAGCCTACGTGTCTCTAATTAAAGGAAGCGTTGTCGCCACAACATAAAACCGAGCCAAAATCTTAAAATGCGTCAGACTTGGCCGTATTTGTGAATTATATATCAAAACGAAAATAGCTCAAAAATTAATTGCCTAAGTCTTGCTTGCTCTCCTCGCCTGGTTTTTAGGGCTCTTTGACACCAGATTTTATATATAGGTGATCCATTCTCCACAAATCACATCCGTTAAACGAATCCATTTAATTGATATTAGCGAGTCCGCGTAGCAAAACCAAACCATCTACAACTGCAAAGTTTCATACTGCTGTTAGTGAACATGAACTAAACAATGACAATTTCCCAGTTTTATCATTGGAAACGTTTAAGTAGGAAACTCCCCAATGAGCACAAAGGAAAAGAGGATTCGGTAACAATGTGTGTGCAAGATGAAGTTTCTTAAGAATAACCCAAATTCATATTTTTATCATTGCTTCACAGATATAAACAGCTGGCGAGCATTCTTCGTTGTCTCGCGATCTTTGTCTCCAGATGACAATTCCGATGCTTCAGCGCCCACGTGTTTGTACGACGCCAAAAATTCTGGATTCAACAATCTTCGTATTTACCAAACGAGCCAATGAAAGATGTTTTAAAAATATCCTCAAACATCATCAATCACCTTATTCTATAGAGAGAGGGAAAATCCTTTTCTTGACTTCAACAAAGATTTAGTTCGGATGGTGAAACCATATGAAAATTAACTAGTAAAACCTGGACAAAACTTATGAAGACTGAAAATAATCCAATAGATTATTCCATTTTCCTTCCAACTGCCGGCGTTTACTTGTCGAAATTAAACATGCCAAAACAATATCACGTTGAAGCATAAATTTCATTATGTTGGTTTTTTCTTTGAACCGGGGCAATTTTCACTTAGTAAGAGAACAAACGAAATGATTTATTTCCACATTTCGGTGTCGATGCGTTTAGTATTTAATGACGGAAATCCAAGCAATATTACCAATGAACAATGACGAGAGCATTAAAAGTTAAACATTTTCAACCATTGCGACGGAATTAAGTTGGCGTTTAGCACACTTAGAAATTAATATACCTAAGTTAGTAATGGAATAGAATAAAATTAGGTGCAGTTAAGGCGAAAAGTCTAAATTAAGTAGTGGATAAAAGTTCTAACGAACTCTACGGATCTACGTAACCGTGAACGCTCTTTGCAAACCCGTCAAAAGTTTCAAGCATACCAAAATGTTTAGCAACTAAATGTTTAATACATCTGTATCTGCGTTTAAGCACTTTTGAGTGTATTTAGCGAAACAATTTAATTTCAATTAAACATTTGCTAAACATTTAAAACTCTCACACAAATGCTACTACCACCCCTCTACCGCGGCTGCACTGTAACACCTCCCCAGGTTAATAATCAGAGGCGCGAGCAAAAAAAACGCTTTTAACCACTCAACAGAAAAACGAAAACGTTTATATTTAGGTTTTTGTTCGCGCCTCTGTTAATCGTCCTCGATAAAGAAGCTTAGGAGGTTTTTGGCATAAACAGTGATTGATAAACGGCGCAAACCTTCAAAATTCTTTATCCAGAACTTTCCTATGATAACCAAGCACATCGACATCCTGTTAGTGTCGCATTAGTGTTACATTGCAGTCGTAAGTTACAGAAAAGAACGTACAAAGTAGTCAGCCCAAATAAAAAAACAAAAAGAAAACCCCACAGCAAACAGTAATATGTCATCCTCCAATCGGTTATTAGATTGTCAGTTTTCAATTTTTCAGAAATGCTTGTTATGAAGATGGAGCGGAGGAAGATCAAAAATGCTTTTCTACATACACCCTCAAGGAGATGAATAGTCGCATAATTGGGCTAAGAGGATATTCGAATCAGTTTAATGTGGCTTTTGATAAATGTGAGTTGAAACATTTATGGCGAAATTTTGATTGGAGGATATCGTGCACAAACATGGTAGTTGTCGAGTCGTAGGAATGATCACTGCAAAATACGCAATCAGATATTGGGACGGTATTATTAATCATGGATTTATTTTCCCTAGAAACTGAGGATTCCACATCGGCGTGTACCATTTATCAGAATCTAGCGGGGAGAGCTTTACAATGTGAAAAGAAACCTGATTGTGGAATATGGAGTGACCACCTGGGGATAATCCAGTTGACTTGACAAGGACCATTCAGTTTATTGATAAGTGAACTCAGTAACTAATCAAAATAAAAAATCCACACACACACAAACACACACTCATCGAAGAGACTAACTGTTTACATTATGTTCGAGTCGTTTCTGGAGTCTGCCAAATTCAATTAAACAATTTTTCAATGGATTTAGGAATCACCAACTCCGTGAGCTTAAGTGGCTAGAAAACATGAAATATTCATTATGATATTGATCTTCATGGTGATATGTATGTGTCACATTTCATTTCATATATCTCAAGGTGCTCAGAGGACTTGCATCAACGACTTACCCATATTGACTAGGTAGGAGTGTGGGGTAAGCTCCTGGTCTTACTGCAGTAAACGGAAATCCTGCAAAAAGCAACTGTTTAAGACACACAACATTATGCAACGTACAACATGTTCATTGAGAATTTCACCTCAAACATTCTTTTGAAAGGACAGAATTTCATCACATCATCGGATGGAGAAATTCGGTCTTTTCAAAAAACACTAACTTTGATTCAAAATGCCCAACTGCCAGGTTTTGAAAATATAGTCATCTTCAACTTTGCAAAGTATTGGGCAATAATCCCAGTTTTTAACAATGCAACCAAAAGAGTTTCTATGTTCCAAATCCTTCCTTCCTTGTCGTGAGAAAGCGAAATAATACACAGGGTGATTTATTAAAAAGTTTCGAAGAGCACACTCGCTAAGCTCATAAAGGTAAGAAGCGAACCGATCCCATCAGGCATCAATGGCCGTAATTAATTAGGTAGAAATTTGAGTGTGAAGTAGAGTATTTGTGGCATACGCAAAGGAACTGAGCTAAACGAATTGTTTTGGGTGAGTAGCGTACGCAAGTGTCCGTTTCCGGGCATGCCGGAAACTAGAAAAGGGCGAAAGATGGGGAAACAGTGGGCCCGTGCCGGTTTGTCGAGAAAACAATACTTTATGTCCTGCCAGTGTTGGATTACCAGTGGCGGAACACTATTTGTTCTTCACTCAGGAAACGAAGCACAGCAGGAAATGTTAAAGATCAGCCGAAGCTCTAAATCATCAGCTGTTTTGGAATTATTTACATAGATGAGCCATTTAGTAATTTCCCAATGGGTGTTAATTAGCGGATTCAATTACATTAAAAACTGAACGTTGTTTTCCGCTAAAGAAATAAGAACTATTGAACCCATAAATAAAACCAATTATTATAATTGAAATTAGCTGGAGCAGTGTGTGCACGTGAAAGAAACTTTCTGAATGTAAAACAGCGACGAAATTAAAACCGGATTCAAACTATACTTGAACCATGATTAATTTACACGGATCAAAATAGTTTGATGCAAAAGTTTATTCTGAATTTACGTTGCCATTGAGTTGAAATTCAATGACAATCCACGTCGAGACTGTAGTTTGTTCTGATGAAATAAACGCAACGGAACTCGCACAGTTTTACACGTAATTAGCTTCTGTGAATAACCACATAAAATTATTTCAATAATTTCAACTATTATGGCACCATTGTTGCCAAAATGTTTGGATTTCCAGAGGAAATTCTGCAAAAATTTTTGTTTTACCGGTGTCTTTGAACCATCAAGCACAGCTATAAAGACGAGCCTTCCGGCTGTGATTACAAATCCTACCAAGTGTCGCCTTCTCAGATTCCAAAGCGTTTAAAAGCTTATTTTTAAAACACATAAATAGAAAGTGACATGGAAAAGTTAAAATAAAAAAGCGCTTACCGGTAGGTACGTTTCCTCTGGGTTTCGCTCCGAGAATAGCTAAATTTACGTTGGCTTTCCTTCCGTCTATTATGGGATTTGGCTCTTTGCATGCTCTCTCTGCTGAAGCTCTGTCTGCCATTATAACCTGGAACAATTAAAGCGCTCTTTGAGATGAGAAAAACTGCTTAATTTCTTGAAGCTTATCTTGTGCCTACTGCGATACTGACACGACCCAACCAGAACTGGAGACATCCTCCATGAGGGTCAATGAACGCATAGGGGTTTTTTCTTCCAAGACAACAGATTGAATTTTTTTAGAGAATAATAAAGTTTGAACGGCTGTTTCGTTCGATAATAGCAAATGCATTTAGCCATGGGTGCCGTTATTCCCTTATGAACAGCTGTTTCTTCAATTCATTCACCCCGACTACCTACAACAGTGGTATATGTACCCACATCTGTTCAAGGGATCCCTCGGAATAATTGCCTGGCAACATTTTTGATTTGCCTCAATCGGCACGAACATAACTTGCCGAGATATTCCAAATTTGAACTTAATAGGACTAAAAGTATTTTATATATTGATTGACTAATTGATTGTAAAAAAGGTAATCAATTAAAAGCCTGCATTGGAAAGAAAAACAAGTTAACGTGTAGATAAATTTCCTGGTAAATTGACAGCCTTTGATGGTTGTGTCAATATTTTGTAGACGAGAACTCCATGGGGCTTTTCAGTTATTTTAAATACCTAAAATAGTTGAGCATTTGCGTCGACACAATTCCGTAATTGCGGGCTACTTTATTATTTATGGTAAAGCCACAAGGTGGAAGGAAAATGACTGTTTTTGAACATTTGGGCGTTGCTTATTATTGACTAAAGCCCAGGATTCACCATCGATCGTTAAATGGGCCGTAGTGTCTAATAAAACCATATGCATGTGTTTATTGGAAAACAGATCTTCAGCCGATCTTCGGAGTGAATTTCATAATAAAATTTTTCTGTTGAACTTGACACGTTCAAAATAAGTCGTAAAATTGCGCGAAGGCAAAAACAATATTGCCCGTAAATATCAACACTATTCCGCCAAACAGAAACATCATTCATTCACTACAATATTTGGCATCGGTAAAATCGATTAATCAACTATTGAGGATATGTATTAGTGGTATTTTCAACGTGTTTTCTTCATTGGGGCGCCCCTGCCTGAAGACAGATTAGTTTTCTTAGTAGCATCAATATTTCGAAAGCTATCATTCTTTTAAATGACCGGCTGCTGCATGGTATTGTCGTAAAATTGTATTTATACATTTTTTCACGGTTATTTTCGTAATTCAGATTGTCTTACCAGGCGCAAATAGTTACTTCTATCAGTCTGGAATTGCTTAAAAAATCGCGTGATTTTCATATTCTAACAGTTCTAAGTGAAAACTGTAGTGACTCAGCTACTAAACTCAGCTTAATTCCAGTGAGCAACTATTATTAAACATCTATATTGGGAGGAATATCCAACTCTGTTCTTATAAAGAATCTCTAAGTTTCCATGGGGGAATAGTATGCACTCCATCAATAACTCATAAAGAAGATGCTCATTTTGACGCAATATTTAGTAAACTAGTCAGAATGAAATCTTGGATGTTTATTTCAATAAATTGCCAAGTTAGTTGCATTAAATAGGCATGCAAAACTGGTAGACTTCGGAATATCAGAACTGGTATTAGTTGATACGCTGAGTATTTATGTGACTAGAGATGGAGAAAGACAGAGAGAGCCAGACAGAAGAGGAAAAACAAGAAAAATCCATCAAAATAGGGCAAGGGGGAGTTAGGCAAAAATAGGGGAAGGGCACAAATAATTCAGCCTTGTGAAAATGAAACGCCTCAAGTGCAAATCATGAAGGGAATTGCCAACAGGCAACGATTTATTTCCAAAGAGTCTCCTTTAAAATTAACTGATTGTTTTCGACGGCTTTTTGTGGCGTTAATTGCTCTTTGGTACAGAAACTGTGAAATTGAAATTATTTTTAAGCCATCGTCCGAATGACGTTCGAAGCGATTTTATTTATAACTACTCCCTTCTGGTCGAGCTGGTCAAAAAAATCAGCATATGTGGTGCGTGAAATAAATCTAGTTTTGTTATTTTTGCCCGAAATGCTGTCAAAGCCGCCAGTTAGTAAAATCATTCATCGGGGCTCATTAGCAGTGCCGAACAAACAGAAACAACAGTCGCAAGCATTAAAATTAAAATAAAAGTTAGGTAGTTGTTTCGTTTCCAAGGTGCTTTGGACGGACAAATTTAGATTGAACATGGAATACATAGAAATTGAACAGCAATCTAAACGCGAAAATCACCGGGACTTGGCAATGCAACACAGGTGTGAATTTGCCTTACATGCACAACACCCCTGTTTAAAAAATTATGTATATAAAAGGGGTCGAGTGTTTTCAGCATAGTATTCTGGCCAGATGGCACATGGCTTATCAGCATTAATATGCTTTTTATCAGGGTTCCGTGGACAAACGGCAGGTTGCCCTGATTTTAACGATTTTTAACAAACCGTTAAAAACTGAATTTCATATAGGTACCTATATATTTTGCAGCCGAAGAAAATCAAAATCGAGATGGGGTTTCTCAAATTTCGAAAAATCATGATTCAAATTAGGTAGGTATATCGAAATCATAAACGTTGGAGTGATACCTATTTTCGACTTATAATCGAATAAGTCGAATTATTTGAATCATTATTTTCCATCAGTAGCATATTTTTTGGAACAGAGCACTCTTAACCCGCCATGAATATTCTAGTTCAACTGATTAGGCCGGCACTTATTACGCAATTTGGAAATTCTCTTTGAGTAAATATTAATGTACCTAGTCGATATTAGTGGCTTCAAGAATGACAGTGTTCAGCAAAGCAGTAATTGATGAATTTCTTTTTGTAGGGTCAATGATTGACTATGGAAAATTGATCTGCAAACTCATATGTCCTTTAGAACTTTTCCTAGTTTGGGGTTCGTTAAGATTAAGCTTAAGAGTTTCCTTAAAGATCCAGCGTAATTGCAACTGATAATACAGTGCAAACCAGCGTAAATTTAGCGCGATACTTCAAAGGAGATAAACTGATATTTCAAGTCACAGTTTTATTAATAACGGCTTGATGTTGATAATGTAAACATAGTGACCCAAAGCGATTGAAATCCTTCAACGAGCGAAACCTTTTTAAGTTATCAAATGGCTGATAAGCCCAAAAGCACGGATCGATCCAAATGCTAATGTTTATTCAATAAAAGTCTATGAAATAATATTGAAGATAACAAACGGGGCCGTATTTGAGAACCTAAATAAATATGTACCAACAACAGTGCCTTAACGTATTACACCATTATACTGTTATTGGACGAAGATCTTTTGCTGTGTACCAGGTACTTACAAATCCATATCCTCTGCTTTTGCCCGTTTGTCTATCAGTAATGACTACTCCTTCTTCAATGTCGCCATAAACCGAAAAATGGTCCCTCAAAGACTTATCGGTCGTGTGATATGGCAACCCGCCGACGAAGAGTTTTGTGAACGTTGTGTCTTTGTTCTGTACGGCAGTACCGTTTAAGGTACCAGCTGTACCCAAGACCCCCAGTCCTGTCAGCCCAAGGGTTTCAGCATCTGGTGACCCTATGCCTGCACTCGGCATTAGCATATTCTGAAAAAAAGAACAAGAATTTTACCAACGCATTCATCTCAATAGCCTTTGTATGGACCATTCAACCAACTAATGGTTCCTTCAGCGACCCAATTGAAATTCCCTTCTTTGCAGCAGAATCCAGGTCTTTAATTAATCAACCAAATTCACTATTGGCATGAAACTGTTCTAATCATTGCGTAAGTTGGATTAACAAATAACATTATCATGAATCGAGTTATATTAAGTTACGCTTGTAATGGATCCCGCCGAGAGGAAATGTGTTTAGTCAGTAAACTTTTATTGATTCATTACTTGATTCGTCCGCGTACAATCAAGAATGGATTGCCAACCGAAAGCTGCTGAGGTGTTAACAATCAGATGCAGAAAAAGGCCGCTGCATAATAAAACTTAGATTTGCGAAATTATCATTGAAACTGAAAATCCATATTCTACTTAACACTGATTGTGTTGCTCACATTAAATGCTGTAGAAGAGTAAATTGGAAATTAACAATTTCTAATTTACTCTTCGCTACTAATTTACACTACGCTCTTAAAGAAACTGGTTTATTTCAATTATTCGATGAACGTAAAAAAAGTTAAACTGTGATCTAAACAAAGTTAAACTTTGCTTCTCAAGAACTCACTAGGACTGAGCCTGCGTTCAAAATGGGTGTATGTTTAAATGGCAAGGAAAACGAAACGGTTTTGCCTGGAAGGAAAGAAGAAACGAAAATTTGATAGTAAATGAATTAATTCTGATGAAAATTGTCTCCTAAAATATTTGCATGCCGTTATAAACCACCCTGTATTTAGAGACTTCTGGGATAAATTATTGCCAAATCTTCATGTGATGTTTCTAGTGGTTGCAACCGAATTCACTGAAATTGGTGAAAAAAATATTTTTGACGACGGTTTCCTGGGCGATTTTAGAAGCAGTTGCTCGGCGCAGCACCACTCTGAAGATGCAAGTCACTCGTACTTGCAAAACGTCTGGAAGAAATTCTTTTCCACGACGGACCAAAAGCCCTAAATACTCGTCGTAAATCAGCAAAAGCTTTTTGTTTTTCTCGTTAAAGTTACGTATAGATCGCGAAAAACGGAGACAAAATGAAAATTTTACCACTGAACTAGTTGTAGGGCATAAACTGAATAGAAGACCGCAATATTGTCTCCTAAAATATTGTAATTCCGGTATTAACGACCCCTGGGATGAATTATTGGCAAATCTTTGTGTGATGTTTCTAGTGGTTGCAACCGAATTCACTGAAATTGGTGGAAAAAATATTTTTGACGACGGTTTCCTGGGCGATTTTAGAAGCAGTTGCTCGACGCAGCACCACTCTGAAGATGCAAGTCACTCGTACTTGCAAAACGTCTGGAAGAAATTCTTTTCCACGACGGACTAAACGCCCTAAATACTCGTCGTAAATCAGCAAAAGCTCTTGTTAAAGTTACGTATAGATCGCGAAAAACGGAGACGAAATGAAAATTTTACCACAGAACCAGTTGTAGGGCATAAACTGAACAGAAGACCGCAATATTGTCTCCTAAAATATTGTAATTCCGGTATTAACGACCCCTGGGATGAATTATTGGCAAATTTTCGTGTGATGTTTCTAGTGGTTGCGACCGAATTTTTCAAAAAATATCAGCAATTTACTGAAATTTTTGTAAAAATATTTTTGACGACGGTTTCTTGACGATTTCACAGGTAGTTGCTCGTACTTGCAAAACGTCTGGAAGAAATTCCTTCAGGCGACCGCAATATTGTCTCCTAAAATATTTGAATTCCGGTATTAACCACTCTGTATTTAGCGGCCTCTGGGATAAATTATTGTTTTATTGGCCAATCTTAATCTGGTGTTTCTAGATTTAACTGTAATTCTAATTCAACTTTTGAAATGGTTGGGTCAATTTTGTGTAGAGAATTTTGAAAAAATCTCGGTTATTTGTTGGAACTGGTGAGTGTCTCCGGCTCTTTACGTCTAAAGTAAAGGCCTAAAGGGCCTAAGCGCGCCTCATTCATTGTAAATTTATCAAAAGTTCCTTGTGTCTCTCTGTTTTATGCTGTATAGACCATAGGCTGGGGATTGGATTGAAAAGGGTCCTCTAAACGTTCGGAGTTCGTTGGATGAAAAAGGGTCTAGAAAACTTACTTTTGGTGGTTCTTCTGCGGGCTCTAAGACGGTAGCCGCGCGCTCTTCGTTAGCACGCGCGATTTCTGCAGGTCTTGCTGGCCTATTTCCTAACGGATTGACTATGTTGTTTATGTACTCTTTGGTGAAGTTACTCCGGCGATCTCGCATAGGGGAGCAGGTCGTAGCGATTTGCACATAAATTTCTGAAAGTTCAGGAGAACGAAGCGACGATGTCTACTCGACCACGTGCGTATTCAACTAGTCTCCAGACCCGAACCAACTTAGTGTAACCACTGTCGACTAATTTTAGACTGAACTCTACAGCTGTTTCAGACTCTGAGGGTCTAAAAGATCCACGAAGGGAGCAGACAGTATGTCAACGAGACGCGTGATGTTGGAGCAGAAATATGTAACAGACTACCGCTCAAACTGTTCAAACGCGAATACACACGCGGGATCCCGGTTTAGGTATTGCGCCCCCTGCTTTGTGCTTAACTGCACGGGACAGCAGTACGTAACAAAACCCCCTAGTCCCACCAGTGGCGTACTAAACCATATGCCCACTCACACAACAATTAAATGTACGACGCTCAATACACAGGCTTTCAGCCTGGCCACTACAATATTTTCATTAGTTCGAACTTTCGTAGCAGGGATATTTCCACCGGAATCGTCTATTTACTAAATTACCCACAGAAGCTCCCAACAGCAATTACTTCCCTTCTACTACTTTTCATTTAACGAGTCCTTTTGTGTTTAGTCAAATGTACGAAGTAATACTCTACGTAGCCGCGAGTTCTCAGAATACGGAATTAAGTGTTTGTAAACAGCAGTTATCCTCATTGAACTTAATCTAATCTATATCTCTCGTGGACATAGTCAGGCAGCGATCCCCGGCTTTTTGCTAGGGACAAAAGCCCTAGTCAATTAGCAACAGAAGAACTCTTTAGATTAGATAAAAATGATCATTTCAATCAATTAAGATGGAACCTTAAGCAGAACAATCGATTAGCTAAGCAAAAGCGCAACAAAGCAGCCTAGACAAGCTCTGACGTCTCTCGCATCGCATTGTATAATGCTTGCTGCAGCTGCAAGCGAAACGTCAGGTAGAAAAGACCAGAGAACCGTTAATTTCCAAAATACACACACCAGGTCTAAGCAACATTGCTTGATAAAATCTCAGTTTTCCAACATTTGCATTTAAAATGCTGCCGCTACTGAGCTGCCGAACAGTATCTGCATAGACACAGGACACGGGTAGCCCAAGTAATAAAAAACAGGGGTGCAATGAAGAACTGAAAATCTAATCGTTTGTTCTCTAGCTCAGATCAGTGTCCGCAGCAGACAGTTTGGTTAACGGCTAAGCTGGGCGCTGCTGCATTTATTTCGGAAAGATTCCAATTTTATAAGGCTGTAAATTTTTTACGGCCAAATGTGTGCCAAAATAGTAGCATTTCGTTCCAGTAAACACTGAACAATGTACGGAAGGATGAACATTTTCAAACAAATGTATTTTCGTTTAGTTTTAATGGCCAGTGCGACGGATTATTGCGGCGAATTATGTTTCTTAAAATTTCGATATTAATTCATTTCACGGATACTTTCAAATATTGGCAAATTTGAACCTGTTTTTTACCTTCCACCAAAAACACAACAAAGTTTTAGAGAAAAATCGCCACATTTCAAGAGTTTTTCAGACAGAAATAATCGAACGCTCTGTAGAAAGGGGGTAAATCTACTCTTAAATAGGTAGGCAAATCTCAAAAGGTACGAAAATAAGCAAGAGTTGTTGATGGAATAAAAAAGATTATAATTTGCAAACGTCGCAGATTCGCAAGGAAGAAATGCACAATTGAATTGTTCCTCGGTCTAAAAAAAATTCCAATTCGATTTCCAAACGAAAAAGTCTTTATGTGCTATACTCCAACAAAGAACCGCAGTTGTAGATAAGTTCTATATGGTTGAGGCGCATTCACGTTTTATCAAAACTTCTTGGGTATTTTGCCACAAAGTTTTTGCCTAGAATTTCTCATTCTGGATTTACTATCCAATAAAGTGGGTCAATTATTGGTAACGATGTATAGATTATAGCAAATTATTTGCCTCAAAACCGCGATATTTTTTTATTAATTTGTTAAATTATTGCATACAACACATATTTTCAACATATGGACCACAATAAAAATAATAGTCAGTTTCAAATTGAACACCGTGTATATAAATAATGGGAAATTGTGAAACTCAAGCAGGAAAACCTTAAGCTGGCAACACGCGTCGTCGTTTTATAAAACCTAATCCATCCATATATACATTGTTTAGTTCCGCAACGCTAAAAAAAACGTTTCATGGTACGATTCAGTACCAGCGGTCGTGCTCAACGTCTGTACAAAAAGTAACACCTTTAGAGACCAGAAGGAGACCAACAGCTGACATTCATCAAGCCGGGGGTATTTAACCTAATATTTGTCTTAACGAGTTATTTTTGATCATTTTCGCAGTGGAAACTGAAGATTGATCATTCTGCTAACAAACGTTAAAAAATAACTTTTGGGCCTTGAAAATAAAGCACACAAACTGTGCAAAGAGTTGGGCTTTAAAAGCTGGAGCTTTTAGCCGAAAAAAGTTCTATTACTTTTTTGCCCAAATTAACCAGTTTGTATTTAATAAGCCTCTGATCCTTTAAAAGCGTATCAAGATAAAGCAGAGACCAGAGACAGAAAAGTTTGTCACCATGGTGCATGAAGAGAAAACAATAAAACTGATGTGCATCAGAATAAAGAAAAAATATAATCGTGCAGTAGATAATAAGGGTGCGTAGTCGAGGGCAGAAGGGTGCCCATAGCCAGGTGTGCACTATGAGGCACTCGCCAAGTGGAACAAACTCATAAGTTATAGGGTAATACGCAGTGGCGTACGAGTCCGTATCAATTTATTTTCGTGTTACTCAATACATTAGAGATGCGCCTCAGAAAAACATTGGAGTGGAATTTTTTTATAGCCTCAGAATGGAAGAGTGGAGTATCAATTTCGCCTCTCAACATCCAACAAAAATATCCCGTTGCATAATAATAGATACTGCAGTTCCAAAGCTCGACCGCTTGATAAATAAAATGATTTGAATGACTATTTCAGTGAGTATCTCAATCGTCGGGCACATTTTAATTTAGAGGAGTGATATGTTTTAAATGTGTCTCAAAATAAACCATATCATTAGCACACGCTGTGCTTGACTGTCTTCAACCGAAACACCATATGCCGGCAATTTTATTTATTTTTATTTTGCCTTTACACTTCTTCTCCAGTAATTCAAATAGTTCCCAGAGACTTTTATTGAAATGCGACCGTTAAATTTATAACTTAACAACCTTTTTCATCGCATAGTACGAGCATTACTTTGGCGAAACTAAAACCCTAGTACTTTATAAATACCGGCGATTTTCTATTTCTGTAACAATAGGCCATGTCGTTTGCCATTAGGCAAATATTTTGTACTTGTGCCAAATTAGATCAAAGATGCGCACTTTTTGCATAGCCGTTTGACAAAGATACGACATTATATTCAATACGTTTTAAGCTTTATTTTCAGTTAAAATAAAACGGGAAATTATACCTAGAAGTATGCGCTTGTTAAATTTACTAATTCCAAGCCAAAACACTGGTGAAATGCGTCTATCCTTTCCATAAAAATACTCAAGAGTAGTGGTGGGAAAAAAGTCACTCTTCGTTACTCGAGTACCTACTCGTAACTCATCCGGATGCGAAGTAACGAGTACCGAATCAAACTGTGAAACGATTATTAAAGTACTCTTTCTCTGAAAGTTGTTTTCACCATGTTAAACTCCGACTGCGAATCGACTGCGAATCGACTGCGAAATATGCGAATTATACATTGTTTTACAGAAATTATACTGTCCAAAAAAATAGGACGAGAACAGTCTAAAATAATCGTTTCAGTTTCAATACCAGACATATTTTTTAAACACGAAACAGAACTTATCTTTTAACATCATACTTTTTTTATTAGAAAAAAGCAAACGTCGCCCAAATTATAACGTTTTTGACTTAAATAGTCCAATAATAATACCAGGGTTAAGGGGAAAAAATCTCTTCCTCCCAGTTTCAAGCAGTGACCGCAACATTATATCTCTTTTTATAAATACATGCAACATGTGAGTTTTTCGAGTTGTTGGACCTCTTTGAAAATAATTTCTTCCTCAGGGTTTTCACGCACATTTGCAGAGTGGTGCTGCGTCAACCAAACTAGTTCTGAGTTTCAAACATTGACCGCGAAAGTTTAACTCTTTTTGTAAATAAATGCAACATGTGAGTTTTTCGAGTTGTTGGACCTCTTTGAAAATAATTTCTTYCTCAGGGTTTTCACGCACATTTGCAGAGTGGTGCTGCGTCAGCCAAACTATTTCTGAGTTTCAAACATTGACSGCGAAAGTTTAACTCTTTTTRTAAATAAATGCAACATKTRAGTTTTTCGAGTTGTAWGGACMTCWTTRAAAATAATTTCTTYCTCAGGGTTTTCACGCACATTTGCAGAGTGGTGCTGCGTYAACCAAACTATTTCTGAGTTTCAAACRTTGACSGCGAAAGTTTAACTGATTTTATAAATAAATGCAACATTTAAGTTTTTCGAGTTGTTAGGACGTTTTTGAAAATAATTTCTTCCTCAGGGTTTTCACGCACATTTGCAGAGTGGTGCTGCGTTAACAAAACTAGTTCTGAGTTTCAAACATTGACCGCAAAAGTTTAACTATTTTCGTAGGGTTGAGGTGTGTTTTAGTTTAGATTTTCGACGCCCATGGTGGGTAATAATTGAAAATTCAGCGGCTCATTTCCTACACGATCGTTGGTGATAAAGTTTGGCGTCTAAAACAGATAGGCTAGCCAAAAGAGAGGGAAAAAGCTCTCTCCAAGAGTTATTTTTGGAAGGTCACATTTCTAGGTAGCATAATTGAAAAAGAGTTTGGTCGCCTGCCTGATTACAGGCGACACAAAAAGTGTCACACCAACACGATTGAGAATCCTGGATTATTGGTTTAATTAAGATTTTTTTCACAAAAATAGCCAAAGTTTCAAGGAAATTCTAGTGGAAAAATGACCACGCAGCTGCTGTGACAAGAACATCTACAAATCTAATTTTGCTCTAGTGGCATCGTAAATATTACAGTTTTCCTGCCTTCAAATCGATTTGGGTCAGTAGTCTTTAAGCGCGATAATTTTAGAAAAAAAACTTTTTGCTGATGCCAGAAGCGCCTACACCTTGTCGGGTACAATGTTTGACGAGAAACATTAGCATCAATGTCGTTATTAAACTAAACATTATTCTACGGTGGTGCATCTTTCATAAGATTAAAGTCTAATAAAGTTTTTGGATAACCGACCAAAACTAGTTAGACAGCGTAATGAAAACGGACGTGATTCTAAATCACAGCTCACAGATCTGTTGCTGTGACATTTTTGAGATGCTCTAATAATATAATTTTCCCTGGCACGTTCCTTGGATATTTTGGCGCCTGCTTTACTCAAACTATATATACACATCAAACCAAAAGAGTTCGCTTTCAATTACAATTAGGCACAACGTTTTGGGGTGGCGAACGAGTTTCCTTGATAACATTGATATTTCACTATATGCGTGCCGACGAAGCCGATAAGGGCGAAATCTCACTTAGAATCTAAAACTCATTTACAGACATTTTTTGCCTGTTGATTCAAGCATTTTAACGCCTTGTAGAACTGAACGTCGCTCTGTCAACTTTATATTTCTTATAGTTAGTAATGTTCTAATTACCTTATGGAGAATTTTATAACAAATATACGACTTCTTTGAAAGCAGCACCGCTGGAAAAAATGATCGCGGAAGAACCAAGCGCGCTTCATGATGGCATCACATTCAATGGCTTTTCGCAGGTTTTACTTTCTGTTCAACCCATTTCTGAAGAAGATAACGGCAAATAAATGAAATTGCTTGAAAAAATTATCCGTGTTTACATAAGGGTACCTAATTATAAAAATGCCCGCATTTATGCAAATGTACTTTCACGCATTTCAGTAACTTATTTCAGTTGCCCTGCAAACTAACTCCTGGTAGCATCTTCAATGAGCAACTAAAGTAGTGAACATGAATTTTTCTTCTGCAGACGTGCCGAGTAAGTTACATTTTATTAACATTTTTGAACTTTACATTAGCTATACCTAATACACTGGAAAGTGCGCTATTTGCTCGTTTATTTTCAATATTTTTTTTCATTATTTAACTAATACGGAATCGGCTAGAGGCAAATTGTAGATTTTAAATTGTAAAGGTTTGCTCAATGTAAGTAGCGACACCTTTCATAGAATAAAGAGCCCTTGTGCCGCAAATGGGGGATTAACGCCATAAGGCGAATGTGCCGAAGAATTCTCAACTAAGTAGGATAATTTGCATGGAGCAAACACTTTTAATTTTGATTAATTGACTTAATTTAAACCGGCCACTTGACTGGGTTTACAGGGATTCAATAAATGAAAACTTCCTGTTGTTGCTGGCGCAAACCTCCAATTTTTACAATTATGTTGCAATTCAATGTATATTTCATCCCGATAATAAGAGCAACCAAACTGTTCCCCAAAACCCACGGTTTTTTCTCTAGCTTCGCCTTTGAAATCTCCATAAATATTTTTTGCAGATTACACCAGAGTAGATGTTCTTCCGTCGCAACGTCAAGGGCGTTTCCTTGGTCCCCTACTAGGATTTTTCCTCGCAACTTTGTTCCCCAGTTTGGCAATAGCCCGATTGCAACAGGGATCTATTAAATTCCAGTATGATCCTGCGCCATCGGTCCATCCCCCTGTAATTAGTCTATTTCAAACCCCCCTACCTACTCAGGCGCCTATCAAAAAGGAGCCTCAAAAGTTTCAGCTCGAAGCGACAGTCCTACCTGGATATTATGCAGATGGACCAAACGTAGGCCTCACTAATATCGGAAGTGCTGATTATCTAATCCCAGCTAACTCTGATAAGGTAGCGGTGAAACGGGCAGTTTCCTCTAGAAATGTGCCAGCTTATAGACGAAATCGCTACAACCCTCGCAGGAGATTTCCGGCCTACTTGGACTATGAGAACTACGACTATTTGACAAACCTTAGACTGAAAGATAGGAGACGGAATCAAGCAAGAAGGCCCGCAGGTCTGAATTACGACTACGACTATGACTACTATTCCCCCGACAGAAACCAAAGGAGGAAGCAGCAAAAGAAAAAAATAAAAAACAATAACAGGAACTATCCAGATTATTACAGCGACGAGGATTTGGACAATGATGTTGAACCAGTGACGGTGGGACTTAGACCTAGACAACAACAAACCACTACTGATAGTACTGATGCTACTGATGCAACCACAACGGTTATCACCAATGGAACAACCCCGGCAACTACCCCCAGTAGTTCTGCTGCGTCAGGATATGGCAAGTGTTGCTCAAAGAGTGTGAAATATATTTCTGTTTTAACATCGGTCCATTCATAGGTCCATACAGCGGGAATGAAAACATCAGTATCACATACGGACCACCATCAGCAATTAAGCCCGTTTATGGAGTACCTGGCCTGACACCAGGGGCTCCTTTAGGGGAATGGACGCCAACTTATAGCTATGAACCAGCCAGTTCCTACCCTTCGCAACATCACGGCACCTATCACAACTCAGCGCCTATCGTATACGGGAGTGTAGGCAACTCGTATGCACCACAAGGAGCCTCTTACTCCCCTAGTGTCTCATATGGACTACCGAGCGGCGCTGGTGATACCCAAATTAAACCCTACCCGGGTCCTTCGTATGGTGCGCCAAGCACTTCTTACGGAGTCCCGAGTCGGACTTATGGAGTGCCTGGACAGTCTTCCAGCCATTCTCCAGCATCCTCCAATGCGAGAGCCAGCAGCTATTCAAGCTACCAACTGCCCTTTTCCAGCTGGTATGGAAGAAGTGCTAGTCACAGTGACATTGTTAGGCGCGTCCAAGATATCATCAAATATGACTAGGACTGATGATAATTATACTGATTATTGTTATTATTAGACACCAATGTACAGGGTGTTTGAAATAAAGGGTGCACTATTGCAAAGTTTTTTATTGTTTTCGTTACAATTACGCTTAAAACTGTTGCATCGGGATTCATTAAATTTTATTGCGAGGTGAAAGCAAACGGGAAAACGTGTTTTTCAATGAAGTGTGATCGAACAGGAAGGAACCACAGAAAATGAGAACTCCACCAGAAACACACAACATTTTTTCTGAGTAACGTTTTACTATTATGTTCAAACAACTAAAAAGTCTGGATCTAGATTTTCCCTGCAACAGAACGGAGTCCAAAAAAGTCGACGAGTTTTCTGGCAAAATCGATCTCTTAATTTTTTCCAGATTTTTAATATATATACCTATATAGTTAATTTATAAATTCTTGGGGATGTCGTCCTAATTGGGAAATTTGGGTTGAAGCTAAACTTCTTTATTTTCCAACGTTTCGGCAGTGCTCCGCTGCCTTCCTCAGGGTTACAGATACTGTAAGAAAAACGAGAATGCCAAATCTACCTCTAACAGACCTACTGTTCTTGAAGAGTATATCGTTGTAAGACTTATTACAAACTCCTAATGTTTATACCAAGGTTAAAACTCATTAAAGAGCATAGATTTCACTCACATGAATTAATAAGACACGTTTCCACGTCAGCAGCAAAACAATTCAAAACACATGTATGGTACACAAATTAATTTTTTTTGATCAGACTTTAAGATTTTGTCGAATTTAAAATGTTAAAATAAAATTTCTGGTCTCTCCATGCTAAGAGATAATTTCGACTGAACTATTTGCAAAGGTAAATGTTTGATTCTAACTGGAGACAACCAGAAAAAGTCAACTTATTTTACTTTATTATATTTTTTTAATAAATATATAAATAAACTCTAATTAAGTCAGAATTCCATTTTAAATAATGCTTAAATGCTTAGTGTCTGTTTTAAAGTTAATGCTGTTTACATTTTTGATT